ATATTTCATTGATATTTAATTATTACTGACTCTTTAATTTCAAATTTTTTTCGAGCTTAAATATTAATAAAAATAGATATCAAAAATATATTTTCGTTTTTATGTTCCATAGCATATTTTCACAAGAAATTTGTAAATAATATTAATATTATCTTATAAACAAAGTCAATTCCAATTCATATAGAAAAAAATTTTGCGTAAATCGCTGTCAGCATTCCATGACAAAAAACTTTTTTTTCGCCCCCACTCTATTTAATATCATTTATTTATATATACAAATAACAAATGATGCATATGATCTGTCAATTATTTAGATTTCAGATATTTGCATAAACTTTTAATTTAAACAAAAACATTAAACAAACAGCGCAGCAAGTTTTTTGCTTCTGAGAAATGTCCGCAAGCAGCTCAGCTGTATATTTAATATTGATACAGATATAAATAAATATTTGGTTTTTATCAGTACATTGAGTATATGTTTATCAAAAATAAGAGCAACACAACAATAACAATAAAAGTAATAATAAAAGCATTATAGAAAGTATTTTAAGCTGCAAAACAACTCGTGTTTTTCTTTTTTATCTTTGCTTTTTTTTTCCTTTTTCTAGTCTTAGAGCTTCGTATAAATGTAAATATGTATATATGTATATCTTTATGTATCTCGATATATATATGTCAACATGTTTATGCGAATTTTTGTTATTCAATGTCGCCGTTGCTATTGTTGTTGTTTCACAACTACGCACCACATATTTATTATAGGAAAAATACATTTATTATAAACGTAATCACGACGTTTGTAAATCATAAAAAAAAAATAAGTAGACACTTAGGAACTCTCCAAATGCATACTATGTATGTATATACATATGCCTATAATATACATATATATTACACACTTTAATTGCTCGTTAAAAGTTTACCGTTTTCTTGTAATTTTGTTGTTGTTGTTTTGTTGCTGTTAAACTTTCTGTTACATTTTTAATGTATTTTTCTTTTTCCAACTTTTTCTTCTTCTGCCGACTATAAACAAATGAAATACACATTTGAAAACTTTGATTTACGTGCGATAATTATAGGTCAAGCACCTGATTGTTATATAAAAAATATCTATTATATTTTGATAATTTAGCGCTTTGTTCAGCTGTTTTTTTTTTTTGCGAGTTCCGAGTTTTAAAAGCGTTTTACACCTGAATTAACTGTTTTTTTTTTTTTTTTTTAGTTTTACTGCGAAGTGAACCTTGAAGTGGAATTACAACTGAGCCGTGTGGATTATTACGTTTTTGGTTTGTTTAATTAGTTTTCTTTTTTTTTTTTGCCTAAATTAGCGACAAAGTTAATGAAACATAATGACATTTATATATCTGTATGTAATGTATGTTTATGTAACCGAATGTCAGCATATTCATCTAAGCCCAGGGTATTGCTGCGTCGACTATTGCGCATGTCTACGGCTATTGTTTTCTTTTGTCAACTTCCGTTTTGTTTATTTACTTCTTATGCTTTTGGCAGCAGTTTCAGTTTCTGTTTTTCTCTCTTCTGACTGCGCCTCATTTGTTATGCATTCTCGATTGTTGATTGTTTTTGTCATAAAAAGTTGATCGGCCGATTCCATTTGCATTGGGTGGCCGCAGCGCCTACCCCACCCCCTCTTCAACTTTCTATTCTACATGCCCCACGCCGCCTGTGTTAGACCATTCGGGTTTAGAGCGCAAAACTTACGTAAACCAATTTCCACGTTTCGATTTGCGACGTACAAGGGGCGACGCTGTCGACGCCGACGCCGATGCCGATGCCGACGGCGAGAGCGGCGTGGCGCTGCTGCGTCGCTTTTCCCCGCCAGCTGCTGACATGCTGCTCATAAAGATGATCGCTCAAATGCCCCAGTGACGGCGGGGTCGGTGAGCAGGTGCACAGAGCTTTGTTCTCTGTCAAGTTAAAATTGCATTGCGCGTGTTGCGCCGTCTGTTTGGCCTCTGTTATTGTTGCTGTTGCTGTTGCTGTTGTTGCACACGTTTATTAACACAGAAAGAATTACGTCATATTGGCAACTGGGTGCGCAGTCGTCGAGGGGCAGCCGCTCTGTCGCCAGGCACTTGCAAAATTATGTAGTACGCAATTGGCGCACATACACATGCACGCATATACAATGGCACACACACACACACGCACGCACTGGCTAGAATGCAAGAGCTTGACAACAAAACAAAAGGAATACAAATTGACGGCTTATCGTGCCTATATTTTTGTTTCTTTCGCTGCTTTGATAAGCACCGTTTATTTTGTTGTTGTGACTATCTCCTTTTCCGTCTTACTCGCGTGTTTATTGACGACTTTTTGAGGTGCGCCCCTCACACACTTGTTGATCGCGTAGCTCGATTATCAAAACGCAACTGAAAACCCAATTGGCAGCAACAGCTGTATGCGGTCTCAACAGCGCTCACTCTGTTAATGTCAAACTCGCTATGTTAAGTGCTCTCTTGATCGCTGTAAGAGCGTACGGGTGAGCGAGAGCTTTGGCCAATTGCCAGCTGTGTCTGATAAGACACGCATGTTACAGAAAAGTTTAGCTAGACTTTTGATGTCTGCTCTCTCAGACCGTGAGCGATAGTATTTTCTATTTGCGGTATTTTTATGTTATTGCTTAATAAAATACTCGGCAAGAGAGGGCCCTCTGTTATCTCTGTTATCTCTGTTAAATACTTTGCGCTCATAAATAAACCAATTAGATTAATGTATTGTCTGTCATTAAAATAATTGTTAATGAACAAATAGATAAAGGTATTAATTGCTGTGTTTGGGAATGTGGAATAGCAAATTCGAAGTAGATGTTTACCATGACTGTTTTGAAGTTGATTTTGAAAGTCAAGTTGAAGAGAGAGAGAGACAAAAGATTTTCCAATTAAAGTTCAGCTAATGGGAATATCAACCTGAGCAAAACTCTTGAAGTGAAATTTATGCTTCACACACACGCACATAGACATTTACACAGGCGCAACTTAACCCATTTTCAGCCCCAACCCCACCTGCACACTCAACTCATTCGGGGCATGCACGTGCTTCTAATATTTTTGACTCTGCTGGCGCAACAACAACAACATCAATGACAACAACAAAGGGTTGGCCCAAAAAGTTGCGCATACGAAGCCAAAACAATTTCTTGGCAAAATTTGTTTTTTTTTTTCCTGTATTTTTGGGGGTTGCCCAAAGGCAAAAGTTGGCGGAAAAACTCGACGCCTGACCTCGTCGCGCACATGGGGCACGGGTACGGGCACGGGGCAAATAAAGTTCTTGCCGCAAAACAATGTTGCCAAACTGCATAAAATATGAAACTACTAACAGCAAAGAGAAAGAGACAGAGAGAGTTTTGAGTGTGTGGGGGAAGGGAAGGGGGAGGCAGCACGAGGGAGAGAGAGACAGCTATATGCATACATGTATGTAATTGTGGCACAAAAGTTTTCTCATTTTTGTTGCTTTTCTGTTTTTTTTTTTTTCGCTTTTATATGCGGCGTCAAAATGTAAATAAAAATTGTTGTTATCGTTGACATATTTTTGTATTGTAACCAACAAATTGTTCCAATAAAAATTTCTTGAGTATTTTTATGCYTTTGTTGTTGTTGATTTTTCCGTGGCATCAGCAACAAAAGTTGCGCTAGGCCAAGTTGAGATTTCAATCGAAGAAGAAAGTATTTCCAACAGGCAATTGAGTTGAGCTCAAGCAATACTATAGTTCAAAGGGGTAGTTGGAATATGTGGGAGGGGTCAAAATGGGACGGATTGGCATTGAAAGTTAGAATGGTTATTAATCATATTATTAAATATAGCATATGAAATACTGAATATTAAAACGGAAATATATAATAATAAAAATAATGATATAATATTCAAAATTTATTTGAATTACAATAGCTATATAGACTGAGACTCTTAATTGATGTTATAAAGCTGATATTTGAGTTTCTAACTCCGCTTAGATCTTATAAGTAACTACTTAGCGCAGATACCACTAAATTACCTATATTATTCGCACTACCCGAAGGTAAACCTTTTTTCCCTAATGCCTATTTACTTCACCGTTTTTTCTTCCTTTTGTTTGCTCGCACTGAAAGGGAAATTGTGGAAATTTGTTTTGTTTTGTTTTGTTTGTTTTTAAATAAAATATAATTTTTCCGCTCTAAAACGCGAAGGCTGCCTGAAAAATGGTTGCTGCCTTTACGGCCAGCCCTTTAAGCCCCTTTTCAGCAATCCTTTCTATTTATTGCGTCCTTAACTTTTCCAGAGTATTTGTAAAAAATAAATAAAATGGCATTAATTTGTTAGAAAACGCTAGTGGATGGGGGTGTAGGGAACCCGAGAGGGGGGCAGAGGGATTGTGGCCGGGGTTGGGAAAGGCGTGCGGCAACTTTTATTTGACATATTCGCGGGAGCATGAAAAATGGCATAGAGGAAAAAAAAAAAAAACAAATAAGTAAAATAAAGAAAAATAAAGAAAAAATCGTAGAATGAAAAGAAGAAGTAAAAATGTTTCATTGAAGTTAAAAATGTTTCGCATTTTCTTTATGGCATTTAGCAGGGTGAGATGTGTGTGCGTGCGTGTGTGAGGAGAGTGTGGCAATACCGTTATGCCGTTATACAGTTATACAGTCGCCCGGGGGCCTTGGCTTTGTGCGAAATTGTGTAACGCTGCCAACGGACGGGTTAACCACTCTCATATTTAATAAAGACTTTAAGTAACTTGAAACTTTTTGCTTGTCTTTCGTTCTATTCCATCCCATTCCCGTTCATTCCATTCCATTCCATTCGATTCCCTGCTGCATCGTGGGCGTTCCAGGTTGGGCTTATGTTTTTGTGTTTCGAATTTTAATTAACATTTCTAATGAATATGCGGGCATTCTTGTGGCCCCCTAACCCCCGGTCAATGACCACTTGGAATTGGTTTCTGGGTATTTCCTCTTTGCTGTTTGCTTTCCCATTCACTTGGATTGGGTTGGCTTTCAAAGGATGCGCAAGTGAAACGTGAATTTTAACTGGACGCCGCTCTGATGTCATTTTTATGCTTGTGTGGGCCAGCATCAAAAAATTTAATTTTTCAGAATTTCAAAGTAAATTTGCCTTTAGTTTCGCTGCTCGAGCTAAAATCTCATTGAAAGTAGATAACTAGATTTAATCATAGTTGCTAACTGAGCTTAATTTCTTTAAGATTAACTATTGAAGATGTCTGGCAACACTGCACAGTTTGGCGTGCATATTAAGTTGGCCGCGGCAAATGAGATTATCATGAGACTAGCATTAATTAAACATAGTGTATAGGATAAATATATAATAGTTATATATCGAAAGTATGATTATTGAGCGTTCTGATTATAAATATTGCCTGGAATTATCCAAATAGCAGAAGCAAATAAAGTTTCTATAAGTTTATATTGAAATTATGATATAGGGCACTTGGAGATTAAAAATATGTTCTGAAATTATCTAGAAGCAAAAGCATATTTAGTTATTGAGCTCAAAAACATATTTATTAATAATTTACATGTTCATTCGAGTTTCTTTGCTCTTTCACAACACCCTCATACAACATGTGTAGCCTAGAGCTATGTTAATGCCCCAGCTATGTGCTAGTTAATCCCTTGAAACTCTTTCAGCCTCGCTGCAGTCACAGTTCGATGTCCCGTTGCCCCATTATAATAGATATATCAGCTCGATGTGCATATATATAGATATAAATATATATATWGTTTTTTTGTTGATCTGTTTTGGGTAAATCAAATACGAAATAAAAACATTTTCATCTTTGCACGCACCAGAAATAGCGCTGCGCCTGCTGTGTGGATGCAACATTTGCGCCCAGTCGACACATTGATTTGTGGTCTCGCCTATTTTTAAGCCACGTTGCGCTGCGGGTGTGGGGTGGATGGGGGAGGGGCTGGGCGTGTGCCGCCTGTGCGCCGAGACAGCCGAGAACACTTAACAACTGAGCACTAGGCATGTGCTCTATTTATGATACACTAGTCAGTTAAGCCACAAGTGGACATATTCGGATGCTTGACTTCCTAGTTGTCTATATCTAAATTTACATCTATATTTGATAATTAGAGTCGAGTCAAGTTTTGGCAATCTGCTGATTAGATTTTTAGTCTACGAATCACAGCTGGAATATAAGACTAAACCTTTCCCATCTGATTTATATATTCACAGAGTATGATCTAGTCGTGCATGCCCGCCTGCAATGCTCTGTCTTCTTATATATATTATAGCTATTTAAGGGAGACAGCACGCGCCGCGGCCTCATGCAGCTGCACTTGTTTTGCCTAGCATTTCGAGTTGGTTCGAAGTTGAGTCGCGTGTAAACATGGAGCGCCACTTACCTCCACAGGAAGAAGGCCATGACAATCAGAACGATGCCGAAGCAGCTGAAAATGATGCCCACCAGGACGGCCAAGTTGTAGTCGTTGTGCGATTGCCTCAACAGTGGCTGCAGCTTCTCGCAGTTCGGCTGCAATTGTATCTGAAAGTGAAGAGCAAAGAGTCAAGTTAGGGTTGCTTCAGCCCAGCGCAAGGGGTGGGGGATGTTGTTCTTAAGGGGAAGTTAAGATTTATGTATTGAGCCTGCAGCTGACACGGCTCAAAGGCGTGCCCTCAGTGTGAGTGTGTGTGTGTGTGTGTGTGTGTGAGTATGGGTGTGTGTGTTATGCAAATATGTGTTTAACTGCGGCGCCTGGGCGTGTGCTAAGCTTTTGTATTGCTATTTTATTTTTTTTTATTCATAATGTCCCTTGGCTTATGCCCCATACTTTTTGTTATTTTAAGCCTTAAGCAACAAACTGGCCAAAGGAAATAGGTAACGCTTTTAAGAAATGTCTGCCACAGGCATTAGCTTTTAGGTCAGCCTCTGTTTGCCGTTCTTAAGAAATTGCTAAATCTTAAAGGGTTTCTTGGGTTTGTCTGAAGCTGTGCGAAGAAAAATCGATCATAGTTGAGTTCTGAATAAGATATGTATGGGATATATGATATGTGATATACATATGTATACATACATAAAATATTTAAAGTCTTTCCAATGTCATTCTTAGATATTTAATACTATTTTCTACCTTATTATACAGTCTGTCAAGAGGAAACTTTCTGCAGGTCATTTGATATTATTTGCAAAGGAAAGGATGTTGAATATGAAGATCTTGTGATTTAATGCACTGACAAAGTTAATCTTAAATTTTGTTTATAAGTGAAATATTTTAGAATAAACAATATGGCTTCAACTATATATTCTATATCAATTTGTAGGTTTTTCGTCCTCTTAAATACTGAACTCGTAAAACTCTATCAAAATGTTGTCACTGGACACAAGCCACAACTTTGTTGTGCAGTGTTATGATATAGTTATAGCAGTATTTCTAGCTTCGCCAGTCTGATACAGCCCCTAGATCTGCAAGGATCTCAGTCACCTAAACTTTTGATGTTTCTCCTTGCTGCTTCTTTGCATAAAACTAATATAAATATTTGTCAGCTGCCATTTGTTGCTTTAAATAATATTTGTTTAAACAACATTTGTGTGGATTGTGCGTTTAAGCGGAAGCGCAACTGCAAATGCAAATGAAAATGGATGAGGAAGTGGAAGTGGAAGCAGCTTAAAGCAAAGCAAGAGAAAAAGTAGAAGCAGAAGTGGAGGCGGAGGCGGAAGCGCAGCTTGTAAATGTGGCCAAAAGGTGGAGCCACTTGAAATGCAGCTATGCATTATATGGAAATGCGCAAGGAAACTCAAGTAAAAATAACAGACGGCAAAAAAAAAAAAACAAAAAAAAAAACGAAGGAAAAGGCAAACCAAGCACGGAGACTGCACAGCTAATGAGGGCGTGACAATCCGCCCACCGCCCACCTCCCTCCGCACAACACTGGGCAATGGGGTCAGCTAAATTGGCATATTTTGTCACGACTGCACAACATGATTTACGCAAGTGTGTGTGTGTGTGTGTGTGTGTGTGTCTGTGTGCGTGGTTGATAGGTTTCTGTGTAGGTGTGTCTGTCGTTTTAAATGTCAGCGCGGATCATTATGCTCGACAACAATTTGCCATAAAATATGCAAAGGCGCTTATTACGCATACGCAGCGTGGCAACGCGGCATTCTCAAAGGCAAATTGATATGCCACAAACTGTGCGCACGGCTCTCTTTGGCTTATGACTTGGCCCACAGCCGGGCGAATATGCAATAAAGTTTTTGGCTACAAAATGTGCTGCTGGCTGACAGAACATAGAGACAGTCAGACAGGCAGGCGGACAGGCGGACAGGCAGCTTGCATGCATTTGTGTGTAATCAGAGCTAATATTATAGTCAAGTTTATGGCATGCCACGCCCCAGGCCAAACCTGGCTTAAGCATGCACTGCCTGACAGATGTGTGTGTGTGTGTGTGTGTGTGTGTGGGTGTGTGTGTGTGTGGGTGTGTAGGTGTCTTACTTACAATTCGTGATTCCGAAAATTTACCCAAGACTATTTTCTTGGGATTTATAACGCTGAACGTGGCTGCTGCCACTTTGACCTCGTAGTAGGAATTCGTTGTCAGATTTTGTAAAATCAGCTGCATAAAATAGAAGACAGAAAATATGATATTATTATTATCATCTGAGAGCGACTGAATATATATGCAAAAATTCAAATATAGCGAGATGTCAGGACAAAATGAAATGAAAGTCATCAGCCGGACCATGCCGGGTTGCATGTACCTATAGAATACCCCGCCTTGTAGTTCTCGATAGTGAATACTTCATTTCATATTTCCATTATATAAGGTAAATTTATATTTACAATATATATTTTTTATTTATATATTTTCTGTTGTTTTTTTTTTTTTTGGTGTTCAAAAATATTTAAATTATGAAAATAGTTTTGAGCGCGAAGCGGATCACCACAAGCTCATATTACAAATAGCAGCAGAAAGAGGAGTAGAAAAGGGAGTGGAAAACTAAAAAAGGCAACAAAAATCCGAGCTGCATATGAAGTATAAAAAGTTTCTACTTTGTGCGAAAATAATAAAATTTTATTGTTGTGCATTTTTTTTCTTTTTTATTATTATTTTGTGCCGTTTTTATTTTTATTTATTTAGTTTGTTTCGTTTTTTATGCGGGGCGCTAAATAAAAGCTGTGCGGCCCAACGCCCAGACAAAAGGTAAAATACCGGGAAAACCACCTCCAAAAACAGCATAAATTTAATTTATTTTCAACGAAAAACACGTACACGTGTGCCACCTGTATGTGTGTGTGTGTGAGMGCGTGTGGGTATTGTTTTGCCCAAGAATTTATGTTGCAGAAAGCCAAAGTCAAAGCTGTAACCAGTGTCCATATAGCCTTCGACCCTGCGGACGTGTCTGCAGATAAACATTTGCAAACAATTTATAGTATGCGCAGCCATTCGACCACAGAGCCAAAGGCCCTTTCAGGGTCTGTCGGTAGGGTTCATACACTCCGATAGGTAATGTAGCATGCAGAAATGATTACCTATATAGTATATACATCATATATAATATTTATATTCATAATCATGTGCAACATTTGGAATACTTTATTATTACAATGCGATGCGATAGCAGTCACGAGGCAGAGTATCGATCAATTTATTTGTCGAGGGCTGCTAGATTATGCACTTGCTTACATCAATGCTAGTATTTATTAGTATTTATTATTTAGTATTTATTATTATATACAAGATCTACTATAACTTTCTCTTTTCTATTGGATTTTCATGCTTCAACTCAGTTTATTAGGTAACTTTTTTTTTCATAACAGATTTAATTAAGAGGTAAAGTGCTATATTCGGTGTATAGCTGGTGTCATTTATTGTCCCATTAACCAGCTCACACTGGCGATTTCAAGTTTTAGAAAACAAAAATATTTACTGTCATATTAATATAAAAAATAATTACTTGAAGCTCTCAAAATGTTTTAAAGTAAATTTCCAAAGTTTCATAGTGCTCATGGCAAAATATAATAGCATCCAGTGCAGATTTTGATATCCAATAGTTTGAGTAATGTGAGGTTCAAGTGCACTATTTTCCATATTTTATAGTTTTCTTTTTTTATTTTATTTTATTTTTTTAAAAATATATTTTCGTATAGCTATCAAAGGGCCCCTCTTAGTTGTTAATAATAATTCCTTAAGGTAACATTATTATATAATGCTATTAAAGAATTTATTTAGTTCATATATCTTTTGTTTAAAAGTCATATCAGATGATAAATATATACATCTATGTTTGTCTCCAGTTTTCTATAGCCACCTATCATGTTTGATTCATCCATTATTTTTACTGTTCTCTATTTTCTTGGTTAATATTGAACACTTTATAAAAATTCAGTTACATTTTCTGATTTAAATACAGTTATGCTTTCATTTGCACTCTCTAAAATGTTTGCCTTATCGCAGGGTGGACTGTTCTGGCAGTGGAAATCGCACGGGTTATTTATGCCGTTTGTAGCATAAAAATGCAATTATGGTTGGCTTTTATTTAGTTTTGTATTCTTTTTATTTTAATTTTATTTTTTTGCATTTTGGCAAATTCTTTCTAGTTTTGTCTGGCTGTTATCTACTGTGTTGTCGTGGAACGTTTATCAAAGAGCCAAAAAAACCCAAAAGCAAACGCAGAAATATCAAAATATCAACGTAAAGTTGGCAACAATCAACATTCCTTCCTTTTTTTGGAAAAAAAAATAATAAATAAAAAAACAAAAAAACAAAAACAAACCAAACAGAAATGGCAAACTGAACTCACAGAACAACAATGAAAGGTGTGTGTCACAGCCCCGTTTCCACCCACGCTCGACCATTTTTATGCCGTTTTCAACATGGCCGACAAAATGGCGGCAGGCAGAAAAATAAATGCAAAAAGACGGTGGAAGAGGGAGGGGAAGGGCAAGGAAGGCTGGAAAACCTCCTGGCATATATATGACAAATTGCTGGGCAGCTAGTTGGCCCCGGTCTGGCTGTGACTCGAAATCGGAGTCGCAATCGGAATCGGACACGGACTCGTTTGAGAGCTAAAACAAAGGCCCGCCATCCATGCATTCATTGGGTCGCCATTGAAATGCTTACCGCTGTTTCTAGCTCCTTGGCAGATGCATTGATGCGTATATCACGATGCGTATCCTGGCCGGCGAGTCGGGTCTTGATGATGTAAAAGTCGATGGTGTTGTAGAACTCGTAGGGTCGCTTCCAACGTATCGTAATCGACTCCTGCGAATGACACGTCAGATTTACAATCGCCGGGGCACTGGGTCCGGCCACATCCGTACGCTGGGCAATCTGATCGGAGGGTTCGCCCTCGTTCTTTGTGGTGAACGCTTTGACAATGACGCGATAGTCGGTAAAGGGTTCTGCACAAGTGGGAGAGAAAGAGAGACAGACAGCATTAAAAACAATATGTTGGCAATGACTTTGATGTTTTATTATTATGTTGTATAAGCAATTCAATTGTGTTCTTTTATATGGCCAGTTATAGAAATATTTTACAATTTGTTTTATTTTACAATTTGTAATGTCATCCGCAATTTAAAGAAATATTAATGAAAGCTAATGAGTATGTGTGTGATGCAGCAGTAGAATAACTAGGTGGGGATTTTATTGATCAGTCGAATACATGTATATACTGTATATATATTATGGGGTCTGTCACGCTTCCTTTTGCCTACATACATACATTTCCATAAGACTATTATGCTCTGTTTTCCCATTCTCAATGGGTTCAGGGTAGAATAATACGTTATAATATCATAATAATAAGACACAGACAAATATATAGTATAGTAGTATAGTAGTATATATATGTATATATGTAGATTGATTTCTTTCAAGGCGCATTCACTCTAATCGAACGTGAATTACTTTTGCCATTGGAATTTCCCATTGCAGTCGCAAATTGAATTCTCAAATATTCCATTTATGTTTTCCAGCCATGAACAGTTAAATCCAGGTGTGGCGCATAATTAACATGGCGCAGCAAACTGTATTTACCTGTGTGCATGTTACCTGTGCATTTATCTATATATTATAATATAGTCAATTATGACATTAGCAGCCATTTCGTTTGCTTGAAGAAANTAGTATATAAATATATGTATATAAAACTGTAATTATAATAAAGCTGGTCGAGAGATGCGTGCAAAAATGGTTTATATTAAATATTTTGGAATGGTTGAAGCTCACTCTGCAGCATGATTTTAAAGCGTTATGCCACATGCCACAAAGTGCGGCAGCTTGTTTGCTGTGACAGCAAATGACAGCCGTGGCAACTGCGATATAATTAAATTCAAGTTAAAATGTGAAAATGTCACAGCAGAAACAGCAACAACAAGAACAGAAACAACAGTAGCAACTGCAACATATATTGATTATGATAAGCAGTTCGGAGCTGCCAAAGTGTTGGCTGCACGCTTAATAGGTGCGCAACAATAATTGATTAAATACGCAGAACGTACAGGTGAAAAATATTAAATATGTTGATGCAATAATTAAATGCCACAGGCAGAGGCGAATGCGGCTGGCAAATCTGCTGACAAAGCGAGCTGTGCACGCTGTGCCACATTTGCCAAGTCTTTTGGCAAATTGTTGCAAGCAGCAAAAGCTGCTGGTTGCAGCGTGTAGCAGCAGCAGCAGCAACAGCAGCAGCAGCAACTTTGCCAGTGCAGCGCATTCCTGGCGCACCTGACGCACCTGACGGGCGTAATTAATTAAACAATGTGGGCGCCGCCGGCTTGGGCTACAGCTGTGCATGCCACATGGCGTATGAGCAACGTGGAATGCGGCACGCGTTCTTATGTTGCAAGTTAATTGCATGGCACCCAGGCCCCATCCCTGCCTCCTGCGCGCTCTCTCATTACTCTGATTAATGCAAGCAACAACTATGCAACAGTTTTTGTGCTCTTTGGCTAATAATGTGGCAAGCTCTGGCTGCTGCTGGTGCTGCTGCTTGCCACACAGCCTAAAAGTATGCAAGAGGGGCAGGAGGAGGCTGGCAGCCGGGTGCGCATTTCACGTTAATGAAACAACCATCAAATTTCGCGTCGCGCAAATAATTTGTTTGGTTAGCTCAAGTTTTTGAGCTTGAAATTGCGACAGTCTCGCGCTTAGGTTCGAGGCTCATAATTACAGGCGTCGCAAGTTGTTAACAGCAACAACAACATCAGCAACAACAACAACAATACAACAAAGCAAAAAGTGGCCAGCGTCAAACACTTGAAACTATTTAATTACAAAGCAGCGGGGCAAACAATTGACTTGAGCTGCAATTACAGCTAATGAAAGGATGGGGCGTCGGCGTTACAGGTGGCAGGTAAAATAGGGTGTGGGGGCGTGGCTGGAGCAAATGCTGGCCACATTGCTGACAGCTTGGCTGCCATTGACAGTTTGCCTGAGGAGCTGTGGGGGGCGGGCGCTGCGTTTGCCATAAAAAGCAATTAAAATGGCGTTTTAAGTGTTGGGCATGCCTTTTGGGCATGACTGTACCGCGCACTAAGCGTTCGGTTACAGCCAGCTTAGGGGCCTTTAATAAACCACTTGAGCGTGCCCTTTTCGCACAAATTGTTGCGAAATTGAGAAAATATTGAGCAGACGCAAAGCACATTCAAGCAAACAACTCTTCAGAGTTGCGAAAGTTAAAGAGCGATTTGAAGGGGCTTTCGGGAAACGTAAGCAAATAGACAACGGAAGTAACTATACTTAAGATTACTAAGGATACTTAAGAAGTTGATTAATACTTAATATTGAAAGCTATTCTTAGTATACGCATGAAATTAGTCGAGTTGAACATCAAAGGCACAATGACATAGGCGGTTGCTCGATTGGTAAGCTCAATCAATCAAGCACTCTAATGATCACTCAATTAATCGGTCAGTCAATCAGATAGCAGATTGATGATTGATTATGCTAAGTCAATCAATGCATCAGTCAATCATGCTATCAGTCAATCAATTGTTAGCATAGTCAATCAATCAATGAATCAGTCAATCATTCAGTTATGTTAGTTAGTTACCATGTCAATCAATCAACATAGTAATCAGCTAATCAATCAGTCAATAATCATAAGTTTTATTATAGAATCAATCAATCATAAAGCAATCAATCATAACGTCATTCCTGCAACCAATCGTCCGTCATTCAAGCAATAAATTAGTCTATAGTCAGTCTTAGTCAGTATGTAAATTAATCCATCAAGAATTAACAAATCAGTCACTATCATTCATCAGCTAGTCATTCAAGACTTGAGGATATCAATCAATTCCTTGGGGTTCAAGTCAGTCAGTTAATTAGTAAGGCAGTAATCAATCAATCATTCATATATATCAGTCTCTTTGATAGTCTGTCAGTCTATTAATTAGCCTGTTCATCATTCCTTACTCTCTCAGTCTGGTCAGTTTGGAGTCGTTTCAGTCTGTCGAGTTTCTCAAAGTTTACATTCATAACTTTGTAAAAAGTTCTTTGGGATTTCATTTCTTCACAGTTTTTACTTACTCAGATTTTGAAGTTCGAAGTGTATCAGAGTTTCGGCCGAGTTGCGTGAGTTCTTGACAATTTCAACGCCCGTCTGGTTGTCGTGGATGTGAAAGACATGATAGCCGGCGATGGCGCCATTTTGATTCTTTGGCGGATGCCAGGACATTGTGATGCTATTTGCGGAGACATCTAGAACGGTGAGATTCTGAGGTTTGCTTGGCACTGCAAAATAGAACAACAAATAGAAGAGAGAAATTAGAAGAAATGCGGAAGTAAGATAAAATTCAAAAAGAAAGTTCATCAAGTTAAATATTTGTGTTTTAGAAACTCAAATGCAAAAGTCGCTAAAAGCTGCTTTAAGGACTTGAGGACCTGCCGAGTCCTCAAGGTTGACAATCATGGGAAACTTTTGCGGGAGCCGGAAGTGCTGCTCAGATACACACGCACACACACATACATAGATATATATAAATGTACATATAAATAATTTATTAAACAACAAATAAAGCTCCGGATGTACGGTACAGCAGCATACACACACATACATACATATATATAAATGTACATATAAATAATTTATTAAACAACAAATAAAGCTCACAAAACGAAGGCAAATAGAATACAAAAATAAGAGAAGAGAGAAGCGAAGAGCGCAAAAGGAAAGTCAAATAAATTGAAATGAATATTTTGCAAGCAGATGAAACAATTTATATTCAAATGCCACTCACACAAATATGCATGTATGGCTGAGTGTATGTGTGTGTATAAGGAGCTAAAAAAAATTATATATTCAATTACGATCAGGAAGGGGCAGCCGAGGCAGCGCGGAGCGGGCGGTGCGGGTGCGAGCGAGGGCATGTTGTCAGTTGCTAGAGCTGGCACAAGCCAAGCGAAACGTAATCGAAGCGCATAAAGAAACGGAAATGCGATTGCGAGCAATTTATTATGGCTGCAATTGAGAGCAAGTGTCCCCCTCCCCCGACTCTCCCTCCACTGGTAGCTGCTCCATGTGCGCTTATAATCCGAGCAATAGCAAAAGGATGCAAAGCTGCAGCAATAATTTCATTTGGCAGGGCCAAAGGACAACACTCGTCCATGTGTGACGGCTGGCCGGGCCGGGCCGCAGAGGGCCGGTGAGTGCGGGCGTGCTGTAAGTGGCAAAAAGCACTAAATGGTAATTTATTTTACTAATACAACAAAGGAGCGAATGAAAGACATGAAAGGGCAAAGGCAAAAACGCTTTGCGTTCGCCACCAATCAAAAGAACAAATGAGTGACCCGAGGGTGGACCAAAACACACTTGACCTGCCAACGGGCTGTGCCATGCAAATGCGATAAAGCTTAACAAAACACAAGACATATACAAAGAGCGAGAACTACACACACACACATGTCTTCCTCTCTCTCTCTCTCTCTCTCTATCGCTCTCTTTGTGTATGTGTAAAATAAACAGTCGCTGTCAATGTAGAGAAATTTATACAATTCAATAAATGGCATTTCTCTCTTTTTTTGCTCCACTTTGCCTGCGCTGCTTCCTTTGCAATTGAAATCGGAAATGGAAATGGGAAATGGACAAAGTGAAGCAGAGCAGAGCAGCAGTAGAGCGACAGAGCAGCGGCACAGCAGCTGCTGCTGCTGCTGCAGTTGATAGTTGGGCCAAAGGAAAAAGCCAATTTATAGACTCGAGCACGGGCAAACGTTGGCAAATTGTAGGCCCCGTGCGCGTGGCATTAAAATCAATTAAGCAACAAAGTGCTGCATACACTCAGGCGCCAAAGGATAAATGTCGTCGAGGTGCAGTTACCAGCAGAGAGGTCGGATGTGTGTGTGTGAGTGTGTGGGTACAAAAGTTAATAGCATTGACAGATGCCAGAGACAGCTCAGGCTCAACATTTTCTTTGTGCACAATCTTAATCTTCTTCTGTCTCTCTCTCTCTCTCTCTCTCTCTCTCTCTCTCTCTTGCTTCCCCCTCTTTTTTTCTATCCCACTGTCTCACTCTTTGTGAACCTTAAGTGCTCCTGATTGGTTTTGGCCATGTCGTTTACATTCATGTGAAGCCGCTTTGTTTGCCTTTAGTTAGCCGTAAATTGATTTCACTTTTGCCCGACCTCCGGCCACTTGCTCTTTCGCTTCACTCGCTCTCTCTCTGCCTCCCACTGTCTCTTTCTCGGCCGCAGTTGTCCAGGTGTATGGCCCATTTCGACCGCATTTCTCCCTAGCATTGCCAACTATTTGCATTATTATTAGTTTCAGCTTTGATTGATGGCTCACGACAACAGCTGAGAGCGAGTTAATTAGATATCCTTATCACATAACTGTAATATCTATCACGAGTTGTGGTCAAAATAGTTGCGGAAATCCAATTAGACGACTTGACTCTTGGTTGACATGAATGCCGGAATAGGCCAGACCCATGTCCAGATACCTCGAAGAGGACAACTGACGATAATATTGAGGCCCAATTATTGCACATTATATATGTATATCCCCCCAACACTTCTTGACGGGGCTATGTTATACTAAAATTAAACATAAATTCATCCAGTTCATGTTATATGAAAAATGCAAACATTAATTAGTATTTTAAATAGACGATACTTAGATTCCTGCGTCGAACTCAACTTTGGATTATTTACCAAATATTCCAATTTCAGTTCCTGAACTAGTATAGAACTAGTATGTAATAATCCAAGAACTTGTATAAATTTAGCATAAATATATA